GATTTTGTGGATTTAAATGTGGAAAATGCAGTGTGTTTAGGGTGTGATTCTATCAAAGTTTTCAAGCATCTGCTGATGGTCTTTGAGCCTGTCTCCACTGTCCACATATATAAAGGAATGTTGTATTATGGAGATAGCAGCACCTCTGTGAGGAGTCACAACAGCAGACAGAGTACAAACAGTACAGTACACTCATGAGTTCATCACAGTATTGAAACAAAAACAAAAACAGAATAAAAGGAAGGATGGAGGCATTGGTGGTGCACCCCTTTAATCCCAGCACAGTGGTGCGGGGGGCACAGAGGCAGGTGGATCTCTATAAATTCAACGTCAACCTGGTCTACTTAGGAAATTCTAGAACAGCCAAGTCTACACAGAAAGGCCCTGTCTCGAAAACACCAAAAGAACATTTAAAACAAGAAGCCTCACTCATGTAAGACCTGTTCTGTTGTGGAAAGTAGATAAGAGCAGATTAGCTTTTATCTTATTACTGGAAAATATACATAGAAACAGTGTTAGTTTATACATCAGTTAGAAGTATGCATCAAAAAGGGGGTCAGCAGTTGGAGACAACAAACACAGTATCCAGAAAGCACATTAATAGCAGGAAGAATCATTGCACGTTCGTGCACATAGAGGAACGAGCTAAAGCAGGTTCAGGGATGGAAGGTTACAATGCTCTCCTCTCTTTCTGCTCATTCTCAGTAAAATGCAGTGAAAGTCAACAACCGAGAGGAAGCACCCGCAAGAAGGTTCACACATCTGGGGGCTAAGCAGAGTGTAGGCCTGGAATGGTGACATATATCTGTGATCTCAGTGCTCCGGAGGCTGAGGCAGGATGATCACGAACTCTAGGATATCCTGAGCTACAGAGTATGATCCTGTCTGGGGGTGGGGGAGGAGAGACACTGTATGGAGCAGGGCAAGCAGAAAAGCTGGTGTAGTTTTGTTTAGTATTACAAATACTATAGCAAGTGCCAACTTTCCCCCAGACACGTTCAGGACCACTTGCCACCCCAGAGGCAACACTAATACTCTTCATCATTGATACCCACATTTTTAATCAGTTCCATTAATTATTTATTTGTCAATGCTTGAAATTGCTTGCAAATTCTGCTTTTACTAAAACATATTTTATACATAAAACATCTCCTTTCTGTTCCTTTGGTTTTGATTTCAAAAGAGATTTTTTTTTCTTTTTCTTTTTAGGGACTGTATTATGCTTACTAATACAACTGTGTGCTGGGCTTCTGATATTAGACAATGAAGAGAGGACATAAATCCTTCCTATTGCCTTACATGATTGTTCCCCCAAACTAAGCATAAAAGTTGTTCTTTGGGGCTTATTCTATAGTTTTTAAAAATGTGGCTGTGTATTATTCCCAAATGTGTAATTACTGAATGTAGGGTCTTATATTCATTGGTCTAGGACAAGGGGTCTGGATGGGGCTGTTTGCTTGCTCACTTTTTCTTAGGATCGCATTACCCTTTACTTCTCTTTGTAACTTCAAACACCATTTGAAGACAGCTGCGGATGGCAGTTATGTCGTCACTGTGCAGGCTAGACTCTCATTTTATGATCATCTTAGAGAAATATTTTCTGCCTCAAAATAATATCCATGGGACTTCAGACTCACTGGTTAGAAGTGCTTGCTATTCTTACAGCAGATCCAGGTTCAGTTCCCAGGATCCACATGATGACTCACAAGTGTCCTTAACTCCCGTTCCAGGTAATCTGATACCCTCCTCTGTGGGCACCAGGCACACACAGAGTGCACAGATAAACATACAGGCTAAACACTTATACACATGAAATTAAAATAGTAAATAAATACTTTTAAACTACAATAATAATAATTTCCAGTCTTCTGGGGTTAAGGATGTAGCATAAATAAGGCCCTGGATTTGATTCATAGCACTTTATAGAAACCGTGTGTGTGGTGGTACATGCCTGCCATTCCACTCAGGAGGCTAAGGCAGGAAGCTCAGAATTTCAAGGCCCTCCTACATACAAAGGGGGTTCGAGACCAGCCTGGACTAGAAACCTTGTATCAAAATATATTTTTCCAGTCATTTATTAAATATGCTACCTTTTTTTAGTCCTCAGGTATCAACTGATTCTCATTAAACTTTTACCTATTTTACTAAATACTTACATAAATTTAAAAAAAAAAACAAAGTTAACAAAGTGCACCGAAATAATCTCTACAAACTCGATATCCGTAATGTCCCTTATGAGGTGATGGAAAGCATCATCCTACTTGACTTAGCTGCCTCACCAGAGAACAGCTTCATTAGCCCTTGTGGTATCACTTTGGGCTTTTTGTTTTGTTTTTGTTTTTCCTTCACTGAAATATGTAGCATTCACATTTCATGTTTTAATTCCTTTTACCTTTTCTTTTGCTGTTGACTTTAAACCATTTGAAATCTGTAGAAAGGGAACAAACAGGTTGTGTCATGGTGGCCTGCCCAATAAATATCCTTAGACAGGAGTCCAAATTCCCTAGGGTCAGAGATTTTGCATAGCACTGATTGGAGAAGAAACACAGCTGAAGGATTACAACTTACACATTAGCTATAATATTAACATAGAGAAGAGCTCTGTGGCTGGTTTTAAGCAAAAAAAAAAAAAGAATCGATCAATTGGGTGTCCAATGATCATGGGATATAAGAAACCAGAGAAAGGTGGAGAATGCTTATCTTTGCCCCAGTATTGATTGATCACCTTCCACTTTGCCATGCCACCAGTTTGACTCAGGCTGACTCCATCATGCAGGCTCAGAAATACTGGGCTGGTCCAAGTAATCCCAGCCCACCCCACCCCCCATGATTACTCAGCAACGGACAATAGCATGTCCCTTGGCAATGAGTCTCGATCCAGGAACACTGCCTAACAGACTGCTGTAAGAGAAAAGCTAATCTTCAGCAGGAGCAAGGAGGAGAGTGTCGGTTGCTGCTGGCAACCATCAGAGGAACTGATGGGACCCTGCCTGTGGGAAAGTTCACAAGATGAGCACAGAGCTCAGAAAACAGAAAATGGGGCAGCCGGCACTCCATTTTCACTGAGTATACTGTTAACCTCCTGATTGGGCAAGCCAGTTTGATAGGATTAGCCTCACCCCAGATGGGAGAACTCCTGTAGATCCTGAGAGAGTGGAAGTTGGAATTGCCTGGAGATTTTCGGGCATTGTAGATACCTGTGTGCTTCCCAGGGATTATGTACTGATTCTAGTGTGTGGTTCCATGAGCCAATCAATCCTTACACTCCTTCTTTCTTGAAGAGCCTTTGTCAGCCACCACAGACCAAGACCTCAAAAGTTCTGTGAGACTCCTCAAAGTGACATAGAATACACCCAAACTCTTTCCACCCTAGTCATGAAGGAAGGACTCCTATTCACTGATCTGCTCAGACTTCGGCTTGATGGTTTCCTCTGTAACCTGTCAGCTTAGGAGTCTTCCTTCTTTAGTACAAATGTGTCTCTGTAAATACAGCAAATACTGAGCCATGAGATACAACTATATAAAAAAGTAAAATGTATTTCACAAATTGCACATTTTAATAAATGTTGCAAAATACACTCTTTGCTTCCTCCCAAAATATTCATATATAACTCTACCTGTCAATTCCTTTTCTTTGCCCCCTAGCCCAAGTATCCAGTATTCTTGGCCACAGTTTAAACTAAGAGAGTTCCTTAGGACTAGAACTGTGCAGTGTGCTCTTCTGCTGTGCCTGAATTATTTCCGCTGATGGTTTACTTTTTTCAGTAGTTCCTTCATCATAATGCTGACTTGTTTTCCATTGTATGAGTGCATTCAAATTTGCCTCCTTCATCATTTGAGGGACACATGAAATGAGCAAAATATTACTGATATTGTAAAAAAAAAAAATTCCTATGGACATTCAAGTGGAAATCTTAATGTGAATGTGAACACTTTCCATAAAGGAGCAGCAGCATACTTCCTTAATTGGTAGAGTGAAAGGGAAGAAATGATGGGAAAGAAAAGGCACTGTTACCCATGTGTCCTAGAACCCTCCTGAATGATCAACTAAGAATAATTATATGAACCACCTAAATAGAAAAGGCTTTGTGAAGTAACACACGATAAAAGACAAGTCCAAATTTAAAAAAAAAAAAAAAAATTGCCGGGCGGTGGTGGCGCACGCCTTTAATCCCAGCACTTGGGAGGCAGAGGCAGGTGGATCTCTCTGAGTTCGAGGCCAGCCTGGGCTACCAAGTGAGTTCCAGGAAAGGCGCAAAACTACACAGAGAAACCCTATCTCGAAAAACAAAAAAAAAATTACTCGGTGCACAAAAGCTGTGGTGAGGGGTCCAGATGTGCAGCTGCCGTGGCCACAACACATTTCCTCTGCAAGTGTGTTCTCTACCCTTCCCTGTCCTTCGCTCACCCCCACCACTGCCACTCATAAAATGCCAAGCTTCCTGTGTGAACGCCATCAAAGACCACCCGTGCCCCAAGACACTCCCAGCCAGATTGCTGCCTTCTGAACCCTGACCTCCAGAAATCCTAGGGCTGCCAATTAAAGGCAGGAAGGCTTTGCTGTTGTGGTTTTTCTCTGAGGTTTTTAGAAGCACTCCGCTTCCTCCTCATCAGGACTACACCTCTGGGTACCACAGTGTTTTACCATTCTCCACCTTGATAATAGTGTCTCTTGAGAGGTTTGAGTGCTGAGTCGGGAGTGAGTTTCAGAGTGATGTGTAGGAAGTGGTTTTGATATTTGGCAGTTCCTAAAGGCTAGGTGATTTGAGATGTTGCTATTTTATATATATATATATATATATATTTGACCAGCTCATTATACTATTCTCTTATTTCTGAAACTGCCTTGTCATTGAGGTATTGAAGTCGTTGGCTGTACCAAAATAGAAATTCCATAAACCAGAGGGCTTTTGTTTATTTCATTAATCTATCCACATAAGAAGCATGTACACATGAGTGTATATATTCACCATGAAATCCATTTTTCTCTTACAGATACCTCCATTAAAATACACAGCTCTGAAACTAAAAACATAAACAAAGTCCCAGGAATTGAAACAATTGAAAGTATAACAAAAATGCACAAAGTGTCAACTATGAGACGAATATTTGATTTGGCAAAGCTTCGAACCAAAAGATCAACGCTTTTCCCAGCTGTTAACATCTGTCCACAGGAGTCTTTGAGACAGATTTTAGCAAGTCTTCAAGCTTATTATAGACTGAGAGGTAAGAACAGCCATGGGAGCCTTCAGCCCTTGGTTCTCTTTATCCTCTCTCTCCTACTAACCCACAGATTATCTTCAGCCCTAATCAGTTCAAGGTCTCTTATTCCTCCATAAGAACTGTAAACATCAGTCTAATAGAATAATGGGCCATAACCTACAAAATGGTGGTGTTTCTGAGAGCTTATGATTTAAAATAATTTGTTATGCTACATGGAACCATTGGGGCCCAGGAAAAACCATCAAAAAAAAAAAAAAAAAAGCCTTGCTATACAGGATTTAATTGTTTTGTTTTTTTCAAAGTCCACTCTTGAATTTTAATGTTCTTATTAAGTAAAAAACCTAGCATAGTTGCAATGTCAGGAAGCTGATTATGACTTAGGATTTCTTTTTTTTTTTCTTCAAAAGAACATTACAGCCCATAACCTTTCTCTTTCAATAATAAGTGTATGTATTGCTGAATCCGCCCCCCCGCCCAAAAAAAAGCCCTTGGAAAGTTTAGAAACTTGGAGGTGAGTTAAAGTACAGAGGAGACACAAATTATGAATGACTTCCACAGTGTGCAGGGTGCTACTGCACCTTCAGGCTGAAGCACAGTGCAATTTTTACCAAGACAACACAGCAGGGTACCTTGCAATTCCTGAAAATCACTAAGGCGTTAAATCAACCACAGCTGCCAGCAGCTGTCCTGCTCATTTCAATGACTTAATATGGATTAAGAATTCACATAGTGTGGTGTGGTGGTTTGAAAGAAAATGGCCCCCAAAGGGAGTGGCACTATTAGAAGGTGTAGCCTTGTTAGAGGAAGGGTGTCACTGTGGAGGTGGGCTTTGAGGTCTCATATATGCTCAAGATACCGCCCAGTGGCTCAGACCACTTCCTATTGCCTTCTGATCAAGATGTAGCCAGCACCATGTCTGCCTGCGCACTGTCATGTCCCACCATGATGATAATGAACTGAACCTCTGAAAATGTAAGCCACCCCAATTAAATGTTCCTTTATAAGAGTTGCCATAGTCTCGGTGCCTCTTCACAGCAATAGAAACCCTAACTAAGACACATGGCTTCTCCTTCAAAATAAAAAAATATATATATTTGTAGTTGGTATTCTGTCCTCTAAGTATCTACAAAAGATGCCAAGTATCTTTTCTCTCCTGGCTAAGTTTTTCTTGCACGTCAAAGTTGAGCAGACTGCTGTTTCCCACCTTTACAACACCAGGTGTTGTTAGTTTCCATGCCAAAATGTGCATCTTCCCGCTCTATTGAAAGCTGGGTACAGTAGCAACTGGTCCAGTTCTAGCCTGTGATGGAGTGGGCCTCCTGACAGTCCAGAACACATTTGTGGTCCTGACATCCAAAGAACCTCCTTGATGTCTACACCCACCTGTAGGGGCGCTGGGACTCAATTCATTTTAGGAGTTCTTACTCAGTTTTGACTAAGGGCTTCAAAAACATTAAGCCCTCTGTTCCTACATGTCTAATTGTATGTGAAGGTAAAGGGGTAACTGCTTTCTGACTTAGCCATAGGAAAATGGAAGTTATTGTATCATGCTCAAAAGGAAAACCCTAGTTATAGACACTGTGAGATCCTAGCACATTCTCTTCACAGAAGTTTCTCAGTAAAATGCCTGCTGAGGGGTATGGGAAGCAAGCATCCCATTCATCAGCAATGCAAGGAAGAGACAGTAATGTGTGAATTATTTATGCTGGGTGTGGCTACACATTGATCAGATAATGATGCTGGCAAGTTCTGTAAAGTTTGTTAATGGACAGAATCGTGTGTGTGTGTGTGTGTGTGTGTGTGTGTGTGTGTGTGTGTGTGCGCGCGCGCGCACCACAATTACTGCTTACTCTTTCTCCTGTAAAATCTAATTATTTGCAGTACTGACATATATAACTCACCAGAGGTATTTGTGGGATGCACTATTGCTATGACCAAATTTTGAGCTCCGAATTTTAATGCATAGCTCTTTATTGTTGATTAGGTTTGCCTCTTTCATTCTTGTTCCCCTGAACAAAACAAAACACTGTTTTCCTCCCCACAGCAAATGACAGTCCATTATCTTTATGGCTGCCTCTGGGTGATATGAAATTTTACTATTCATCAGTGTGTGTTTCTTAAGTCTGAAAAATTGGTTCACAAAGAAACAAGAAATAAGAGCTAGCCACAAAGCTGTATTCCTTTGATGGAGTGACTCACTCACTCTTCTCATCACTGCCTTTACAGAATGATCTGCTGACATCTTCCAACAGACTCAGGAGAGAAAGCTCCCCACTCTGACATCAAATAGAAATAGTGAACTATACCCCACCACCCCACCCCACCCACCTCCCAATGCTTAAAGCACCACAAGTGAAATATATAGAACTTTGTGTGGAATCATTAAGATGCTGTCCAAAAGCACAAAGGCAAGCAAAGAGAGTTTGTTTCTGGCAGTCTCAAGTGAAACGCCCTCAAAGATGCCTGCCCTCACATTCCCCACGGTGCTGGAGCCCAAGGCTCTCCCCTTTTCTCTCTTTGCTCTTTCTCAGTCCCAATACCAAGTCACATTTGGGGCTTTTGAGAGAGCTCAGCAGGCAAAAGGACTTGCCACTAAGTCTGAGGATGTGATTTGAGTCTCCAGAACCCACATGGTAGAAGGAGGGAACAGACCCAACTACGACAAGTTGTCCTCTGACCTCCACACATGTAAGCATGCACACACACACACACACACACACACACACACACACACACACACACACGTCTCAAAAAGAAAACCCATTGGTTCTAGTTTTTAACCAGTTGCTTTCCTTGTTGCTGTGATGAAATTCCTGACCACTCAAGGGAGGAAGGGTTTATTCACTCTTGGAAAGTACAGGCATTCCCTGCAGGGAAAACACTACAGCAGGAACAGGAGGTGCCTGATCACATTGTTCTCCCATCCATCGGGAAAGCAGAGAAAACAGCATGCTCTGCTCCCTTCCTCCTTTACACAGCCTGAGACCTGAGCCAATGAAATGGTGCTGCTCTCATTTAGGGAACGTCTTCTACCTCAATCAAGCTTAGAAAACCCTCACAGACATGCCTACAGGTTTGATTCTAAATCCAGTCAAGTTGATAATCATGACTGAACATCATAAGTTTCACATCCTTGATATAATGGTCCTTATAAACATCAATGCCCCTAGCAGACAAATCTTTAAGTAACTTCCTTGTGCTTCAAGAATAAATAATTCTCTTCTCGGTGTCTTTATGAAAAGCAGGTGCCGATGTCTATGGGGAAAAGTCCAACAAGGAAAGGAGGAAGAAAGAATGACATGGGTCTTATAAACAAAATTCAGCCTGGGTCTCCCTGCATGACAGGGCACACACTGCAGAGATCTGTCTTGATATGTCCTACAGAGGGAGGACTCAGAAAAACGAATAAACACCCACAATGCACACACAGAGACATATATGTATGTGTATGTATAATGTACACGTGCATACATACATATAACACATATGCACATACACATCTAAGAAGCCTGCAAGTTTGAGTTTAGGCTCAACTTGGAATAGCTAGTAAGATAAACTCAGAATAAAACTTGTCCAAGCCTTAACATGGACTGAAATCAAACAAAAACCATGTGTCCCACAAATGAAAACCAAAAGCACCGTGCTCAAGGTTGTACCTCTCTGGTAATGAGAAGGGACTGTTGAATCACGGCCTCCTGGTGTTTGTGGATATTGTCCACGAAAGGCACCAACACTGAGCCTCAAAGGCAGTTTCTTGTATGCATTGTTGTATCTCCGAGGGCAGTTCAGGGAGGGTTGAACTAACCTAGCAGGTACACTGTGGGGAAAGGCAACAGCAAAAAGACATGTCCCTACAGACAGATGGAATATGAGGGCTAGGAGGTCAGCAAGGGCAGTCAGTTTGCTCAGGCTAGACCTACAACTATTTGCTCAGGCTTGGACAAATCTGCAGATTTCCAATTGCCTTTTCTCCTTGAGTGTCAAGGAGAGAAGGAGTGTTCCATGCTGCGGCTGTCAGGCCTGGCACTGTGATCTTTGCAGACAGTACAGAGGTCACGTTGCAAAGCACATTTTCTGTGTGGGGCTACTGCCCTGATCTCCTACGGCTTCACTCGGTGTGAAAGACAGGGCATGTGAGTATTCAGAATGCTATCCTCCTGCCTCTGAGTTACTGTGAAGAGATTAGTTCCCCCGACGATTCTGGTCAGGTGCTGCTGGCCAAGGGCCTGGGCTTTTATTGATCTGAAATCCCCTTTGCCTCTTAAAACAGAAAGTGTAGAGAAATGCGGACATGGCATCAGTTGGCAAGTGGGACATCATACACAGGAGTAAGATTCCAAGCTGTTTTTTCCTCATCTTGTGCCTCCCACAACTGTTTTTCTTTAGAAAGTCAGATGATGTCAACTTCTCCCCAAAAAGTTCCAATTCCTTCTCAATTCCTAAAATTCTTAAATTCCCAATTCCTAAAACAAAAGTAAATAATGAATGAATAAATAAATAAATAAATAAATAAATAAATAAGCAGAGATATTGTTGACTGTGAAAGTCTGCTAACATATCTTATTAACCTCTTACACTAACTTTTCTCTGTGTAACCCAGGCACATTTTTCAGTTGACATCTAAAGTTCTCCATCATGAGTTTAAATAATTAATAAGGATGTTGCTTTCAGTGAGATGTAAATATTGATATTTAAAATAAGAGTCAGATCATTCTGTGGTCTAATGGATTCTGCCATGCCCTCTGATTATTGAGTCATCAAGTTCTTTTAACAAATAGATTAACAAGCTGTTCTTGAGAGTCAGGTTAGTGTTGCGCTGGGGGGTGTGGTTCAGTGGTTAAGTACTTCTCTGGCATTGGTGAGCTCTGGGTTCAATCACCAGCATTGTGGGGTGGAGGGGCATGAAAGCTGATCAGTGACATCAAGTTTTCAGACAAACAAAATCTGAATTAGGTAGTAGGGTACAGTGGTAGACCTGCCAAGCATAGCCAGTGTCCTCAGTTCAAGAAGCAGAAAATGCCACACCCACATTTCCTTCACATATCTCTGAGTCTCAAGTCTATGTAATTTATGTTTATGTTTTGATTAGATACCTCCTCTCCCTGTGACAGGCTTCCATGTGTACATGAGGACCACCCATCCATACCTTGCACCCCATTGTCTTCCCCTTAGCACATATTAGGTGCTCAAAAGGGTTAGGTGATTTAATTTCCATGGGCTGTTGTCTTAGTTTCTTTCCTTGGCATTGTGATAAAACACCCAAACAAAGGCAATTTAAAGGATGCATAGATTCTTGTTTTTGTTTATTGTTTTGTTTGTTTTTTGGTTTGGGGGGGTTGTTATTGTTGTTATTTTTGCTTGTTTGTTGTCAATGTGATTTAAGCTAGGGTCATCTGGGAAGAGGGAACATAAGAAATGCCTCTGTCACGCTGACCTGTAGGCAAGTCTGTGGGGCATTTTCTTGAGTAATGATGGATGTGGGAGGGCCCAGCTCACCGTGGGCAGTGCCACCCTTGAGCAGGTGGTCCTAGGTTATATAAGAATGCAGGATGAGTGAGTCACGGGAGGCAAGCACTCCTCTATGGCCTCGGTTCAATTCCTGCTTCTAGGTTCCTGCCCTGATTGAATTCCTGCCTTGGCTTTCCTCAATGATGGGCTGGGAATGGGATGCGTTAGCCAAATAAACCTTTTCCTCCCCAAGTTTCTTTTGGTCATGGTCTCTATCACAGCAGTGGCAGACAAACTAGAACAGGGATAAAGGGTTTATTCGGCTAAATTCCATGTTCTAGTTCATCATGGCAGATGACGGACTTGAGAAGGATCATGGCAGAAGGGACTTAAGAAAACTGTTCATATTATGTCCGTATTCAAGAGAAAGAGTGATGAATTAATGTGTGCATACTAGTGCTATACCCAGTTTCTCCATTTTTACTGGATCCCAGTCACTGAATGACCTCATCTATAGGGGTGGGGGGAGTTGTTCCTACCTCAGTTACGCAATCAAGATACACCCCCTAACACGCAGATATACCCGTAGGTCAACCTAATGTAGCAAGACAATCCCTTCTTGATGCTCTCTGACTCCAGATTGTGTCAGATGACACATAACACTGGCTGTCACCACTGTAGATTAGTGTGTCAATGTAAGCCTGAAAATATTTTCAGACTGTGTGCTTGGGGAAAGGACTTTTCCATCCTGCACCCCTAACTGCTGTGTGTTACAGTGTGTCAAGAAATAGTGTGGGAAGCATATCGGGTCTTTCTGGATCGCATTCCAGACACAGAGGAATATCAAGACTGGGTCAGCCTCTGCCAGAAGGAGACCTTCTGCCTCTTTGACATCGGGCAAAACTTCAGCAGCTCCCAGGAGCACCTGGACCTTCTTCAGCAGGTGAGCCTGCACAATGCCCCAGCAGTAGCGAGGTCTCCAGCCCCTGCCCCTTTGAAATGGTTTCCAAGACATAAGGGTTACTTGACAAAATACTTAGAGATCGCTAATAAGACAGACAGGAATTTTTATTCCTGCAAAATAATATTGCACAGGCAGGTTGAAGTGTAGTTGAAGTCAGAGGGAATGAAAATAGACTTTAGCTCTTCAGTTGGCATTATCTCTGGGTAAAATTACTTTTTATCATTTTTTTTTTCAGAGAATGAAACAGAGAAGCTTCCCTGAGAGGTAAGTACCCAAAATAGAATTCTGGATGCTCTTGACTTTCAAAAGATCATATAATGGAGTGCAACTAAGCTACTGTACCTTGATGGTCTGTCAGCCTCCAAGATCTGTTTAGGTTATTCTGATCGACAAGGTTTGCACAGATTGCACTGAAGACAGAGAAGTGCACAGAGGGAAAGGGGGTAGACCTGACAGACTGACACAGATGTTTGTAAGAAAATAGAATTCCTCACGGTGTGATACACATCTAATGTGTATTTTCACTTAAAGGATCTAGGGCAATCAAAAGTTTAACTCTTAGGACTCACAGCAAACTATGAGTTACATCAGGAAAATACTTAACACGATCAGAGAGCAACCTGAATTTTTTACCTCTCATTTGGTATTCTGGAAAGTGCTAGTATTTCTCAAGCTAAATGACTGAAGCACTGAGCTATATCCTCAACAAGAATTGAATATCAAATAAGCAAATTTAGCTACACGGAGAGAGAGTGGGGGAGAGAGAGCATTAGCTAAAATGATTGAAGAAGAGATGCTGTTGTCAAACTCCAAACTCATAAATCACACGCAGTCGATGGCATGATGAAATCATACCCATTTAGACACATAAGTCACAGGAAATACCTCAAAATGCCTTTCACATCTGTTACTTTGTTTCTTGTCTCTTTGCTGCCAACCTGTCTGTCCTATAGCTCAGTCAGTTTACTCTGTGGCAGTAAATATCAAGTCTGATCGCCCCCAGTAGATATCTGGGCCACTAATTTTTCCCTCTTCAACATCACTACTTCTAGATTAATAAATCTGGCATATTTCTTTTGTATGTCAAGTCCTATTTGATACCACTCAAAATATCCCCTCATTGTCCCCCACGGTCTTCTGAACATCCTATGCCCTGCCTCTCCACCCCAAGTCTATGCACAGGAAGCTGCATGTTAAGAACTGCATCGGTGGCATCTCTTGGCCTCTGGCTTGTGGGTAGGACCAGCCAAAACACACACACACACACACACACACACACACACACACACACACACACACACACACTTGCAAAGTCTCTGAACACTATCACCTTCATGTTCAGCTCTGGCCTGTCCAGCAGCTCCTTCCACAGTTTTCTGTTCTGGCTTCTATCCAACCCATTGTTTCCAGCCACATGGTACTATATTTTTATCTTTCTGTTTTTCCACAATGTAACAACCACTTGACTGTGTCTTGCTTAAATAACCTTCCTGTTGATGTTGCTTGTTTCTTCCCAGGCCTTTTACTAAACCAAAGGGAACACTAACTAACTAACTCGTACTTCTTGTCCACTGACCTCTCCAATTGGCCTCACACTACCCATGATCCAACTGCTGCCTCTGTGCCGTTTTCTCACTGCACACCCTGATCACACTGGGCTCTGATCTGAGGGTTTTCTCTCCTCTATGGAAGACCCTACCTCCTCCATTCTACCTATTCAAATCCTCCTCTCTTCCAAGCTCTTGTCTTAGTTACCTTTCTCCTGCTGTGGCAGAGCACCAAGAACAAGGCAACTTATTTTTTTAAAGCGTTTAGTGGAGGCTTACGGTGTCAGAGGGTGAGGTCATGGCCATCGTGCTAGGGAGTACTGCAGCAGGCAGGCACGCACGGTGCTAGAGCAGTCACAGAGACGCGCTTACATCTTGAAGCCCATCATTGAGAACAAATCAGAGACGGAGGGAGGAAAAGAGTGAGGGAGGGAAGGAGGGAAGGAGAGAGAGAGAGAGAGAGAGAGAGAGAGAGAGAGAGAGAGAGAGAACTCTAACTAGTAATAGTGGCCTGGCTTTTGAAACCACAAAATCCACTCTCAGTGACACACCTCCTCCAGCAAGGGCACATCTCCTAATCCTTCCCAAACAGTTCTACCAGCTGTAGACCAAGCATCCAAACCTATGAGCCTATGGGAACCATGTTCATTCAAACCACCACACTCCAGGTATCTTCACAATCCATTTAAGGCTGCAGCCTGTCTTGAACTTTGTTTGGCACCTACCTTCTGGCTGAGCATTTCCTTCCTTTTCTTGCTTTGCTGGGAAAGTGCCAACTCCCCCTCGGCAGCAGGACCCATGTGATACTCTCCACCTGCTGTGTGAGACAGCAGAGCTGTCTCTCATTTTCTTAATCAAGTGTGCGTGCTGAGCTACTCTGACTCAACTTCAGCAAGCTATTGCCAGGAAGGACGACATAACCTGGTCAAGGTTTAGACCTACACTCCTGACTTTGTTCACAAGACACAGAGATAGTCTCTGCTGATTTAAATATTGGACAATGGTTTACTGACTCCAACTTTCAAAAAGCCTTAGAGCTGAGAAGAGGCCACCCACATGAAAAGCCATCACAAAACATTTTAATTCTTGATAGAGAAACATAAAAAATTATGGAACATTCACCTCTTCCAGACAGAGAAAAACTCTTTTCATCCCTGCCTTTGTCCATGCATTGTTAAAGAGGAGGAAAAGACTCAAATTCCTAGCAGCTTCAGACGCCAAGGCAGATAAAGGGAAAATTTCTCTTTCACATAAAACCTTTCCAAGGAGAAAAGAGAATTTTCACGCCCCTGACTAGTCCATAATTCTGCCAATTTCAAATGGCTTTGAAATGAAGGCCAGTACAAGAACCTGGTACCCCACCCAGACTTCCAACCAGAGCTTCTGGCGGGTAATACAAATTGCCAGCTTAGAGGAAGGATCACAAGTGACAGTGGAGGATAAAGATGCCACCCAAGAATGCAGCACATACCAGAACGCTAATCTGTAACTAAGCAGTGACCGCCATTGTCATAACTCTCCTCCTCTGGCTTAGTTTCTTTTTCATGATGACTCGGAACAAGGAGAGTTGAGTAGTCTTAAGAGGAAGGCCTAAGCATAAACAAAGGTCTATAAAATGAAAAAGAAAGAAAATTTCCCTAAATCATAAATACCACAGTGTTTGACATTTAAATATCATCTTCACAAAAGCTATTTTTTAAGCCTATAGCGTAATACCAGAAAAACAGTAAGAATGGCTGATTTCAAATTCCAGTAGAATTTAAGCTTATACTATCCTGGATCTACCAATCTACTTACCCATTTCTACTATGGACATCCATTGTTTTGTTTTGGTTTTTTGTGTATGGAGTGTGTGTGTGTGTGTGTGTGTGTGTGTGTGTGTGTGTGTGTGTGTGTATGTGTGTGTGAATGCATGTGCACATATGTTTGCAGGTGTGCTCACCTATGCTATACATGTGGAGGTTAGAGGTCAACGTCATTGTCTTCTGCCATCACTTTCTACTTTCCTTTACTTTTGAAACATGGTCTCTTACTATAAATGGAGTCCTCTGTTTCAGCTACTCTGGCTGGCTAGTGAACCCGTTAGATCTGCCTATCTCCAACACCCAGTGCTGGGATTATAGACCCATATCTCTGTGTCCACATTTTATATAGACTCTGGGGTATGGCGGGGAGTTCAAGTTCAGATCTTCATACTTGCACAGTCACTTACTCACTGACCCATCTCCCAAGCTCCAACATCCATTTTTATTGGTCAGAGTGTACAACAGGAGAGCTGATAATATGTAAACATTACACTTCCTAGCATTTTGGAAAGGGTTGGCATGGCAGAGGTGTGTTGGCTCTGTCCAATCTAGATAACTCTGTAAGAACAGAGTATCAATCATTTCTTTACATCTCTGTCTTCATGAACCACAGAAAACAATATATTATACTAAAGAAGATGCTATCAACTGGGACCCACCACTTAGAGAAACAAAACTTTCAGTGAGATCCAAAGCTTATCATGCCCACAATTCCTATTTCCCATCAAGAATGGGCTGATACTGAATATGCAGGCAGTTCTGCCACTGAGACCTTGGGTCTGACCCTAGAATATCTCCCACATTGCCATCCATGGATCTGAAGTCTTACCCCCAGCTCTCTGGGCTAGTTATCATTGTACACTATGGAAAGAATAGAGACTTAATAAATCTGTACTATTCAGAAACTAATTCTCTCCCATTTTTTTTTAACTCCAACAGTTCTTTGTTGGATAGGCACACTCACAGGCGTCTGAGGCTTGGAAGGAATATTTCCATGTCCAGTTATGTCACCCATTATATCAAGAATATTGTGTTGTAATGGAACAATAGAATATTAGGACCCAAATGAAGTTCAGTTTTGCTTACTGTAGAAATGTCCCCCTGAGACCACACAAAGCCAAAAGGCTGAGAGAAAGACCAGGAGTCAAGCATAACCATTAGAAGAGGTGGTTTGAGTTTTTCTTCAATGATATAGATGTAGATACAGATATAGATAGATTCAAACCTCACTTCAGTAATAAAAACAGGTAAATCTAGACTAAAAAATGCTTTTTCTCTAATAGTTTGTCTATATAGTGTAGGCGAACTCAAATGCAGGCTCCCTATCATGGAGTTCCTCTTTACCACTTCTTTCTTTTCTTTTGTGCTAATAGAAGAGACGAAATAGCCCCAGAGGAGACACTGTCAGAGCCTACCAAAACCCCTGTGTTATCCACGGGTAAGTTTAGATCTTATTCCATCTACTCCCCACTGTTAATTCAAACCATAATGGAGAAGGTATTTACAAAGCACTCCTTGATGAAAGCTGGTAAAACTTATGATTCACTTGCTCTTTTCTAGAAGTTTGGGTTCTATTGTGGAATATCTATATGCATAACAAATACTGTTTGGTCAACACATTTAAGCCTAAATACCTTTCAAATCACTAATTTCTTCATAGACATTGCTAAATTGAAACCTGATTTCTGGGGCTAGCGATATTGCTCAATAGAGAGTGCTTACCTAGCTTGAGGCCCTGAGTTCAACTCCTGCACTATGGAGAAAAATAATACTAAACTTCTGTATTTGTGGATTTTGCCAAATGTTATTATAATTTAAACAGGTTACTGGCCAAAATGGCAAACACCTATCTCATTGCACATTTTCCAATACTGAATATAAAGTTTTAGCTTTAAGTTTTTTAACATTTTGTTAGTGTGTGGGTATGTGTATGTGTATGTGTATGGTGTGTATGTGTGAGCGCAGGCATGCATGCACATGTGGTAGTCCGAGGATAACTGTGGAGTGGATTCTCTCCTCTACCTGGACATGGGCTCCAGGGATCAGACTCAGGTCATCAAGCTTGCAGAGCAAGTAACTTTAGCTGCTGAGTCATCTCAATTTTCAAAATAGACAAGGGAAGGATGTTCCTTTAAATCTATACATTAAAAAATAGAAATGTTTTAAACAATGAAAATACATTTTATTTACTGACATTCACAAAAGCTGCTGTGATTTTGTTTTTATATTTCTTCTGATTTAAAATAATTTACTGGGGTTGGAGATTTAGCTCAGTGGTAGAGTGCTTGCCTAGCAAGCGCAAGGTCCTGGGTTCGGTCCTCAGCTCTGAAAAAAAGAAAGAAAGAAAGAAAGAAAGAAAGAAAGAAAGAAAGAAAGAGAGAAAAAAAATTACCATTTCTAGGCTTACTTCCAACTAATAATGCAATAAGAGTTCAATTTCAATTACATAAATTAGTGAAAAACATTCTTTAACAAATAGAGAGTTGTATAGTTGTTAATTCCTCTTCTAAATAGATGAGGTTTGACCTGTGATTCTTAATATCAAGACATATTTGGAAAAGTATTGTTTACAGGAAGCATTTCTTTAAAAGATCCTTCATGCGGCTTTCTTTTATACAGTAGAAAACAACAATATTAATAGCATTAAAATTTGTTTTTCTGTTTTTTTTAAACAGGATATTTTTAAAACAGTATGTTTTATCTGTCAAGGACCTTCATAACAAAATTAAATTTATTGGGTAAAGACTTAAATTGAAACTCTTCTTTAAGGCTTGGAGGGGAATGGGATTTGCAGGTGAAAGTCGGCAGTATTCAGACTACTTTGGACACCACAGGGGCTTCGCTGGAGCCTTGGTCCTGACCTTCCCCTCTCTGACAGCCGAAAGAAGCAGTTTTGAAAGTGGGTCTATCCATTAGTGTGGGTTGCATCTGTAGGTAGTAATTTACCCTCAGAGTCCTGCTGGAGTTTGTGCCCAGTGACTTGAGCACACTGGCTGAAGTTTAGCTGTTGAGCTATACACGGTCCAATGGAGAAGACTAATACCCTACTACAACTTAACCCCAGCTGAACACTCCAAGTACTTCAGCTGAAGAACTATCAGTAATCAAAATATCCAGCCAATGACCTAATCCCAGATGCATGTGTCCCACTGAAGAAACACATGAAACATGAAAATTAAAATTAAAAAAATCAAATAAAGGCACTATGGCTCCTCTAAATACATGATAATGTATTCTAATAAGAGTAAGTTAGATGAAACCCAAACAAAGAATTCAAAAGAATGGTTATAAGAATGGAGGATTCAATAAAGAGAAAGAAAGACTAAGAACAATTAAATTGAAACTATGAAAATGAAAATTTCAATAGGTCAAATAAAAAACTCAGTGGAAAGACTCACCAATGGATTGATCAGTAAGAGGGAGAATATCAAACCTCGAAGGCATGGTTATGAATTATAACATTCAGACAATGACAGACAATATAATGAAGAATGCAAATAGAACATGCGAGACATCATTAAAAGATGAAATTTATGAATCGTAGACATAGAGGAAAGAGAAGTAGTGTGTGTGTGTGTGTGTATGTGTGTGTGTGTGTGTGTGTGTATGTGTGTGAAAACACAGGAAATATAAGCGATTAGATTATAGCAGATAATTGTCTAAATATAGGGAAAAGATGACTGTCCAGATACAGGAGACATTAGAATGACAGAGATAAGACCAGAAAAGAACCTCCTTATGTCAACAGTAGAGTTAAAACAATAAGTGTGCAGAACACAGAGAAAAAGAAAGCTGCAAGAGAGGAGCAGCAAGCCAAACGAAAAAGTAAACCCAGGAAAGTGACAGAAACTCTGAAAGCAAACGGCATGGAGTGATGTGTTCCAAGCTCTGACAGACAATAGCTGCCCATCCAGATTACTATATCCAACAAAATTGTTTTTCATAATTGAAGGAAAAACTAAAACATTCCATGATAAACACAAGTTAAAAGAACTTAGGACACTGAGCCAGCACTGCAGGACTACTAGATACATTGACCTAAACAGATCTATTAAACCACAGGAAAACATCAACCACACTTTAATAGTAATAAGCAAAGGAGGATTAGGAAGGTTCCAAATATTACAGACACAGCAAAATGGCAGGAATTAATACCCAGCTTTCAATAATATCTGCGTTAATAGTTTCAATTCTGCAATCAAAGGACACATACTAACAGACTGGATTTAAAAGCAAGGTCTCTTTGTTTGTTGTCTGTAATAAACACAAAAACAAACACAGACATAGGGTGGAAGGATGGAAAAATGTATTCTAAGCAAATGGAAGTAGAGAGAAAACAGGTGTAAATAAAAAGAATATCTAACAAAGTAGACATCAAACCAAAAGCGGTCAGGAGAAATAAAGGAAGTTACTTCCCACTGAGAGAGAGCATCTGGCTTCCTACTCTTTGTTGGTACAATCAAATGATTGAGATTTTGCTAAAAACAACTATATATATATATATATATATATATATATATATATATATATATGAATGTATGTATTCTTCATTTCATTGTGTATATATTATTGTTTGTTAACAAGAATGACAGCTGAACTAACCAAAAAAGAGAGGTAGAAGACCAAAATTCATAAAAAAGAATGAAGTTAGGCCATTTGCAGTACAATGGGTACAACTGGAGATAATTTTATTAGGCAAATTAAGCTAGTTTCAGAGAGAGAAAAAACATCATGTTTTCTCTCATTTTTAGTTCCAACCTACCACAGAGATTAGGATTTGGTGAGAAGCATTACTAGGCACCTTAGGTGTGAAGCAAGGGAGGGCAGTCTTTAAAGGAGGTTAAATGTACTAAAGAATAGGCCTGTAACCTGATAAATGGTCCTAGTTTTTTTAGTCCCAATAATTTCTCTTTTCACAGTAACAAACTAGGACATTCAAACAAGAACATTTTTCATCTAGTTTAACTGCTAAGCTATTTTCATTGGGGAAAAAATAGGGTATAACCAATTAGTTATAAAATAATAAAGTTTTGGTAGTTTGAATTGTTCTCCCAGGGTGGAGTGTTGTGGAATATTACTTTAACTACGTAAAGATGTGTTACATTTGTTTATGTTGCACTTGTCTAACTACGTAAAATGTGTTGCATTTCTTTATGTTGTGGAATATTACTTTAACTATGTAAAAATGTGCTGTATTTGTTTATGTTGCCTTTGTTTAATTATGTAAAGATGTGTTGCTGTTTCATCTTGCATGCCTAAGACACCTGATTGGTCTAATAAAAGGCTGACCAACCAATAGCTAGGCAGTAGAGGGCTAGGCAAGACTGTCAGGCAGAGAGAATAAGTAGGAGGAAGAATCTAAGCTTGGGAGGAGAAAAGCAAGGAGAAAAAGAGAGATTCCCTGGGCTAGCCAATCAGGCAGCCACCAGACAGACAGACATGGAAGAAGTAGGGAAGCAGGCTTTACAGAATAAAAGAAAGGTAAAAAAAAAAAGTCCTGAAACAAAGCGTAGATGATGATAAACAGATTAAAATAAGTTATTAGAGCTGGTGGGACAAGCCTATACTAAGGCTGAGCATTCATAACTAATAATAAGTCTCTGTGTCATGATTTAGGGGCTGGTGGCCTGAGAAAGCCTGCTACCATGGAGAATTTCTCCAGCTCAAATGCTTGCAGCAGGCTGTTCAGCTATAGTTATCAAGGAAGATACCAGTGATACTGTCCTTCCAGATCCTAATCAACCAAATGACATGGACTATTTTACCCAAAAGTATCACCTGTTCTAATACTCTATCACACTATAAGGTGACTTTCTAAGTAATCATAAATTACTGTGTATTTAAAAAGAAAAGAAGTGATAAAGGTTTAAGGAAATAGATGTAGACAATTTAGACATTACACAATGGTGGCCCACAACCATCTGTAACTCCACTCCCAGGGGGTCCATTATCCTCTTGTTACCTCTGAAGACATCAGTCACACACAAGGTACATAGGACATACATGCAGGCAAAACACTCATACACATGAAACAACAAAACAAATAAATGTAAAAAATATATATAAATGTGCTTTAAGTCATTTCTCCAGATAACACAATAAGACCCACGATTCCATACTTAGTGCAATGACATCACAGAATCTCACAGAGCCGAACAACACTTTAAAATGTTCTTAAGGGGGAATGAAGAAAGAACAAATTTTTTAATTGATATATCCTGTTTCCTAAGGCTCAAAACTAAACCAGTACATTCTATGTTTTTGCCTAATTAAAATAAAAAGGAAAGCAATTTCTGACTAAATATAAACTAATTAATCATAACACTATTTTCTTTGAACATTTCTACAATTATAATTTATAATAAAATAGTAATACACATAGGTTAAAATGATTTGCTCCTTGAATAGAACCTAGACTTCCATTACTTGGTATCTTTAAATGTTTCTGATCTTTTTCCAGGGATCTGAAATAGTTTTTGATGGTCATTCTAAAGGGGATGCTTTACAGGGTGGCTTGAGGGGTTGGAGAGATGACTTAGTGCTGCTCTGACCAAGGAAACAGGTTTGGTTCATAGTACTCACATGCTAACCCACGACTCTCTGTAACTCCAGTTCTAGGGGATTCAAAGCCCTCTTCCGAACTCTGTGAGCAAAAGGCACTCACGTGGTGCACATACAAAAATGCAGGCAAAATATTCATACAAATAAAATAACTCAAAAAAAGAAAACTAAAATGGCAATCTTAATGTTCTTTCATCTCTATTTTTTTATATTATTTTATATTATATTATTATTATATTAATATATATTATATTATATTATAGTCCATAATCTAAATTTTTAATGTTTAAAATTTACTGATTGCTAAAGCAGTCTAGACTTTAAAGACTTGGGTAATGTTCTCAGATAATGTTCAAAAGAACAGATTCAATATAAATACTTGGCTTTATGTCCTTTAAATAGTCACAAAGAGAAACATTAATCAGGTCTCATTAGACAAATCATTTAACTGTACAACATATAGTAGAACTCCAAATTTTGGTCCCAGAAGGAATAACTTAATGGATATTGAAAGTGTGACTTCATGGTTTTTTCAAAGACATATGTATTGGGTCTTTGAAAAATGAATTCAGAATGCATTTATCTGACATATGGAATTGTGGAATCTTGACCTTGTTTTAATTTAAATTGGAATTATGAAATCTTGACCTTACTCTAATTTAAATTTTTATAGTCTTAGTTTTGTGTCTGAAATCTTTCTAATTTCTACAGATGTTGCCAGCATGTCACTGGGGCCCTTCCCACTCCCTCCTGATGACACATACCTCAACGAGATTCTTAATGACACCCTCAAAGACATCCAGAAGCCCACAACAGTAAGAAGTTCTGAGTTGGCAGTTTTTCATGCACATGTCTTGTCTTTTCTTTTTTGTTATTTTTTCTCCTGTCTATGTGTATCTGGTGTGTATACATAGGTGTATGCATGTTCACATGTATATGGGCACATGTGTGCTAGGATTATAGTTGGGCTCTCATTTACCCTTGGCTTTTCCTTGGATTCTGGGGATCACAGCCTCAGTCTTGTACAGTAAGCACTTACCAGCTGAGTCATGTCTCCAGCCCTTGGTTTGCTTTCTTCAGTAAAACAGGGAAAGGGGTGAAGGGATCAGATACTCAACACTTTTAGTGCTGTGTTTGCATCACACTGCAATCTCGGTGACTTTATTCTATTCAACTATTCTTTGTTATTTATTTTTATTTTATGTGCATTGGTGTTTTGCCTGCGTGTATGTCTGTATGAATGTGTCAGATTTGGGAGTTACAGACAGTTGTTAGCTTCCATGTGGGTGCTGGGAATTGAACCAGTGTCCTCTGGAAGAACAGTCAGTGCTCTTAACCACTGAGCCATCTCTCCAGACCCTCTATTCACTATGCTTACGTCATTCTAGGAACTGAGGAAATAAACAGCTTGAGGATTAGGATAAAACAGGAGGAATTGCAAGAAGCAAGCAGAAACCCTTCTCCCCAATACACGACAGATACTTCTGTGTAATAATGCTCCCCAAGCATTAAAATCAATCAATCGATCACAACCAATTCACTCACTCTCCACTAAAATATAAGGCTTGTTGGCAGCGTTACTCTGACACATGCAGCAACCAAATGTATCAAATCCTCCACACTGAACCAGGGAAAAATAGAAGCAGTGGTCTAAGGCTAAGAGACACACTAGCGACCAAGTGGATGGGTGCAGCTGTGTTTAGAATGTCACTGAACAGAAGCATTGGTCCAGACAGTGCTGAAGCAGAGGAACGTTGCCCTCATTGCTCCCGAGAAATGGAGTTGGCTGTGCAGAGAATGACAAGCCAGAACTCCCCATCCTTCTACTGTTGCTGCAGCCACACCTCCTCTCCCCCAGAATCTTTGAGGGGCTCTTTTCCCTGCCCCATCCTTTCAATTTCCCTCCAAGGCAAGGCGAGGGCAAAAAATTCCATCTTCCCAGCTCTGCATGAGAAATCCTGATGAGCACCCTGCTGCCTACTCTATGTGCCCTTCAGGCAAGATGGCAGCAGGTACAGCTGAACTATTGCTGTGAACAAGGAATAAAAATAATGTGTTTTTCTGAAAATTTTTGCCTCACCAACAGACAAAGTGCTATTGAAAAAAAAGTATTTTATAGTTCAAAATATTTAGCATAACATTTATAGGATGAGTAGTCTTTCTTCCCTCTTTCTGTATGTTGCCTGTGTCCCATTTCCTTCAATATCTGGTATAGGGACCTTGCTCTGTGTAAATATTCCCTCACATTTCATCTGACATCTGCCATACCCCTTGGTGAGCAGCCTCTACCATTTGTAGCTATGGCCCATTCTTTCCCTCAGCAATTATTTTATTGAAGTCCACTGATGTGCCAAGACTAGGGATGTACATCAAATATCCCAAGATAAACAAGAGAAGCTCCTGCACCAAGGAACATATATGCAATTATATATGACAGAATACTCTGAGTGCTGTGATTAAAGGTGGCAGGATGAAAGACTGGGACAAAATGATAAGCCAGGACAGGTTGCAGGAGGTACATTCCTTAGATGTGCATACTCACTAAGTTTTGTACATAAATAGCCCCTTGGTTTTGCTTCAGGGGATTTTTGTACAGTAGAGAATTGTGTGGACCAAAAAGACTTGCAGATAGAAAGAAGACAACAGGCAAGTACAGGAGTCAGCGCCAAACAAGAGGCTGAAATGCCAATCAGTGGCACTGGCGTTCAGGGGAGACAAAGACTTCTAGACTCCAGACAGAGGAAATAGTATTTCAGACAAAACATAGAATGAATAAAATGCACATGTGTGTGTAGCTGGAGAATTTTTCTCCAGCTCCCACCACCAAGTCCCGCCAGTCCCAGAGCCCACTTATAAAACAAACACACAGACTCTTGCATTATTTAAACTGCTTGGCCATTAGCTCAGGCCTATCATTGTCTAGCTCTCACTCTTATATTCAGCCCATTTCTATTAATCTTTACTTTGCCACGTGGCTCATGGCTTACCGGTACTTTACATCTTCCTTGTCTTGGCAGTGGCTCCAACTCGTCTCCCTTTCCTTCCTCCTTCCTCAATTCTCCTCTCTCCTTGTCCCGCCTATACTTCCTGCCTGGTCACTGGCCAATCAGTGCTTTATTTATATCGAGCGATATCCACAGCATGTGCGTGTGTGTGTGTGTGTGTGTGTGTGTGTGTGTGTGTGTGTGTGAGAGAGAGAGAGAGAGAGAGAGAGAGAGAGAGAGAGAGAGAGAGAGAGAGAGGAGAGAGGAGAGAGAGGGAAGGGATACTATTGCTAAAGGTGGGAGCATTTTTAGAAGACTCTCCAGGAGGAGAAAAGCAGAATATGGCCTTTTATTAATCCAGCAATCATAGCCGCAGAGCGAAAAATGAACATTTTCAAGCAGATTGGAATAAGACTCTGGGAAACACTAAATGTGCAGAAAAAAAGTCTAGGTTTTAACCACAAGTAATGGGGAGTCCCTAGTAAAAGGTACTGGGTGAGAGGCATTTAAAGTCCATGTTTTTACATGTGGACTCTAAATAGAGCAATCTCTCCAGAGTCCAGAGAATGTGAACACTGAACCAAAGGGCCCCGATTCCAGTCAATCCTGAGAAATCATCTCCAGTCCACACAGAATGTGGACTGCAATAAGTGAAACCACATTGTATGCTTCAAAGTTTCTAGGAGAATAGATTTTAACGTTTTCAACATACACAAAAAGAGATGTTTTTGAATGTGAGGAACTGAATATGTTAGTGAGCTTGACACAATCGGTCCAGATCATAAACATATATCACATTGTACCCTATAAGTGTAGACAATTATCATGTGTTATTTTAAAAGTATGTTGAAGCTGGATGATGGTATTGGAATGATGGACATAGGCAGGAGGATCAAGGGTTCAAAGCCAGACTTAACTCTATAGCAAGTTTAGGAATAGCTTGGGCAACAATAAGACTCTGACTCAAAACAAGTAAATAAATAAAAATTGAAGACTGCCTCAAATTCAAGGTCAGCCTGGACTACAGATTGAGACCCTGTCTCAAATAAGTACATAAATAACCAATCCAATGGAGTTCCAGTAGTGCTTTACTTTGTCTCTCACTAAAATTCAGAAGCAACTCATTATTAGCAGTGTAAGAATGATAAGCGGCACTGGTTACTGATGTTGGTTACCACACAGAAAGGTCACGGCCATGGCAAAACCTAGTATCAGTATCAGAGCTTTATTAGGAGGAAGAGGGATTGGGGGGAACAAGAGGAACAGGCCTTGGGAAGGAGCACGTGCAGAGAGAGAGAGAAAGATGATGGGAGGAAGAGAGAACAGAACAGAGAGAGAGAGTGGGGTCTGAGTCATGGCTCTTGAAGGCACAGGTGAGCTTATGAAGCTACACCACGCATGCGCCGATTGTGTGACCACTCCGGGTACACGTAATCATCAGTGCATACTGATGACATAAGACACAAGACGTCTTGTCTAGTTCCTTAACTGTGCATGTGTGGTCATGCAGCTGGAGAGCAGCAGAATCCCAACAAACAGGACTTTTATTCCAAAACCACTTGATTCCCAAACAGTCAAGTCCAATTCTTGATGCAATAGCAACATATATTATTTAATATAGCAGATTGTATGTGGTTTACATTAATATAGGCCCTTTTTCTTTTAACCTAGGAAAGCAAAACAGAACCCATTCGTGTGTCTGAAATCTCACCAGAGGAGAAGGTGGAGTTCAGCATCTCTCTGCCAAACCACAAGTTCAAGGCAGAGCTCACCAACTCTGGGTCCCCATATTACCAGGATCTGGAGAGACAGTCCCAGCTACAGGTGAGTGGACTGTACACCCACACCCAAAGTCATGGCACTGTCTGGGAGCCAACAGAATGTTATACATCATTTGGCTATTAGCTCCAACTTTTTGTGACCAGGCGTCCATTGTTAACCACTAAAAAGAAAACTAACATATATTAAGTTCCAAAATATTGGGACAATTATACAGTCCAGCTTTTCCATTGGTCAATGTTATTTATGTTTAAATTATCTTTAATTTTTAGTAAGTTTTTCATTTATTTAGCTAAAAGCCATAAATATTCTACATATGTAAATTGCCATTATGGTAATGACCCATAAGTATACACTTTTCCAAAAATTCATCAAGGTGTATATTAAATGCTTTCATCTTTTTATGTCAATTATATATCAGTAAAATTGATTAAAATTTTAGAAGATTAAAATAAAATGATCACCTACGCACTAACTAGAGAATCTAATGGACTTAAATGTAAATTTTCAATTCATAATATTATATCCCTATTAATATTTCCACTTCTGCAATTTGAAAGAAATCTATGTTTACCACTATATCACTAATGCTATCTTTGCAATTTGATGCAATTTAAATACATGACGATAAGTAGACATAATTATAGTGTTTATTCATCAACTGCTAGAGCAGAAGCTAACCCAAGATAACGTTTCTATCTTTGAACAATATCATATCTCTTTGTCTTTGGCTGAATTCACATGTTCTTTAACTCTCTGCAGGATAAATCCAATTAAGTTGTTTAATGTAGCATATGGATGCTGAGAGTGGCATGGGAAAGGGGGGAAAAGGAGACAGAAAGGGTTGTAGACATGACCAGGGCTGCTACAAAAGTGTGCACCAGGTATAGTGAGTCCATCACAGAGGCACCAAACCCATAATGGTGCATGAAATTTTCTATGATAGAATACCTAGAGAGAGACATGTGGAAGGGCCATAGTTGAATATTAGTGTTCTCTGAACTGAAACATTCCCTCCAGGAGGAATGGAGAGACTCATGAGATTCTGGAAGTAAACATCACACTTCTGGGTATGCCGAAAGGAGTAAGATTATCAAAGGCTCTTCCTGGAGTGGTAAACAACTATGGGGGAGGGGAACCTGACCAGTGGGGACCAGAGAGTAGATTCCTAGACCAGGAAAGCTACCTGCAAGTCCTGCAGAGAGCTCTAGGGATGCAGCTCTCCTGGGTCATTGCTAGTGTTGGGGTGGACTTTTTGGTGATGCAGCCGCATTTGAGTTTTCTCTGGTCCTGAAAATAGCCCTTCACACATGCTGCTGTACGTAACCCCAATAAAACACCACTGGTTCACAATGTTGGACTTTGTTAAAAACCATTCCTTTAGTCTGTGTGTGTTCCCTACATGGAGTGAAAAGATGTGTATGTGTTAAGTCATCTAGACCAAGAAGGCAGCATGAGTGAATACTAAAAATGAGGGAAAGTTGAAAATAGTTTGTATTTCTGTCAATTAAAGTGAGAAAGAAAGAGTGTTATGCCCAGATCATAGAGACCCCCAAAAGACCACCAGAGAGACGGAATCCCACATGTAAAAGCAAAGAGCATTTATTTTCAAGCTTGGAGCTTGGACTCTCTGAGAGCAGAGAGTCCCTAGCCCAGGTAGGTAAGGTAAGTATAGGGAATGTTTGGAATGTCAGACATTTCTCCTTAGATGCAGGCCCCACTTTGGAATGTCAGACATTTCCCCTTAGATGCAGGCCTCCCTGGGTGGGGTCAGCTTATGGCTTTTCCTAGATTCAGGTATTGCCTGCCAGAAGCTTTGTCTGGGCTTCTAAGCCTGTCATGGCAGCTGTGAGGTCAAGCTGTTTTGCGCCCCCTCCCAACAAGAGGTGATAATGAAGGGGTATAAGACAAGTCTGAAAGGAAGGCCAGGTTTTATCATGGTGTCCAGATCTTCTGAAGATGTCCTAAAGGTATGAGGATTTGGTAGAAAGAGTGTTTTAAATACCAAATGAAACAGGTAACAAACTCTTCCGTTAGTTCATTCTGCTTACTAACTAACCCATGTCTAAGCACCGGTGTGTGGTTCATGAACACAGCAGAATCCTTGGCTTTCACATTTATAGAAATGATCCTTTGTATTTAATTGACTTGCTGCAGATGATGAGAGGGTTGGACGTAAGGGAGGTTTTATGAATACATCTCCTCTGTAGGTGAGAGGTGAGTAGAGAATTCTCAAACAATGAGGAAAAGAGGCCCTTTGCTACCTGGCCATGCTGGGAAAGGTTCAAGTGTATCCAGACCATCCACAAATGTGGTTTCTAAGTATGAAACCTTGTATTCCTTCCTTTTTTTAGCTATCTTTATAAAAGTTACTACCACATGAAAGAAAGCAGTCGACACTCTCAAGGAGAAGTTTAGATCTTGCTGAGGCTGAAAGAAATTGACCACAGACTCTTATCTGACTTGTTAACACTATGAACACATAAAGGAGCATAACAGAGAGTATTACGAGACTCTGTCTAACCTAACAAAACCATAAACTTAACCCAAGCCCAAACCTTAACCCTAACCCTAACCCAACCCCTAACTCACTGTTCATCATGGAAGGAAGTCAGGACAGGAACTCAAGTCTGGCAGGAACCTGGAGGCAGGAGCTGATGCAGAAGCCACAGAGGAATGCTGCTTACTGTTTTGCTCCTTATGGCTTGCACAGCTTGCTTTCCTGTAGAACCCAAGAACAGCAACCCAGGCATGGTACCTTCCACAATGAGCTGGGCCCTCCCCTGTCAGTCATGAGTTAGGAAAATGCCCTCACAGGCTTGCCGACAGTCCAGTCTTATGGAGACATTTTCTCTATTGAGGTTCCTTCCTCTCTGACAACTCTAGCTTGTGTCGTTGATATAAAACTAGACAGTAAAGTAAGTATCGTTTCCCCTTTAATGCGTGAGGAAACTGAAGCACAAAGAGGCAAATGGACATCCCCAGCAGGCAAAGTCATTACCTGGCAAAGAGAAGATTCCAACCCATTGCTAGGGTCAGCAAGAAGTCCCCAAAAGACCACCAGTCATGACGCAATCAACAAAAGCATTTATTATACCACTGCTGTGCCCACATCACCAGACTCCCTAGCAAGACCACCACAGAGCTGTTATCCAACGCAAAACACACAGGGGTTTATTGATAACAAGCAAGCCTGGGCTTGGTCCGAGTCCAACTCTTCGACACAGTGGATGGAGGAGGAAGGCCCTAAGCTCTCAGAATGAGGGTTTTTAAAGGGAAAAAACACTAACAGGGTGGTATATCATAGGATTGGGTGAGGGTATGTAACCTTTGAATTCACTGGTTGGGGTCAGGAGGAATTTTTCAACAAGGATTATCAGTAGGACATTTAAAACCCTCAGATGTTGTTTATCAGGATTGGTTTATGTGAGTGGGCTGCCATGGACGCTGCCCGGCCTAACATGTACTGACTATGGGGGATGACTCAGTGGCCCAGGCTCTGTCCTTGACTCATGCACATAACTCTAAGTTGATGAGGTGCCCCAGACAGTAAACAATTGACTGAACCTTGAGCAGTCAGAGTACGTGCAGAAAGGGAGCTAGTGCAAAGACTATGTCTTTTGTTCATGGCCCTCCCAGAAACTGCTTGCTCAAGTCTCAGGAAACTGAAATTGAGGCTTGATCTCTGAGAGAAGACTGAGCAGCCTTTTATGGTGTCTACTTGGTCCTTTTGCCACATGCATGTGGGATTGCTCACCTATCCAAAATGGCAATGATCTTGAGAGGGATATGTGGGTTCCTTTTAAGCACAGCTAAGGGGAGTTCGTAGGGCAACTAAGTCATTTGATAGGATTGGCTTAAGCAAGTGGCATTCATATTAGTACATTCTAATTGGCCAGGACTAGTTAGGGGCTGATTAGAACTACAGCTTTTCCATTTTGGGGCAGGCATGAACAAACCCCAGGCTTTGTCATAATTTAGTTATTACCTGACTTGGGGGGGGAGGGGTTTGGTCCAGGCCTAGTACATTCGAGAACTGAGGCCTAGTTCTTAAGTGAGTTATTAGAGGCCTGTCATGATATTTGCCTGGCCCCCTCACCCAGGTAGTCAAGCTTTGCTCCTTCATCACTACCACAATGCTTCCTAGTTTTCTCAAAGAATGTTTATGGAAAAAGGATAACTGTATCATCAAGTCGCCCTCTAGCCCCCCGAAAAGCTTACTAACAAAGATGTCTATGTCTTGCCCAACTTTACTCCAAAGAGTATCACATCACCACTGCTGACTCTTTCTGCGAAGTCTACCATTACCTAAGGCACAGTCCCCTGTATCTCCTGTCCCCCCACTGGCTCCTGTGCAGGACTGCTCCAAGGCCTGTATTAGAAAGCCAATCCATGCACTCGGCCCATAGCCTGTGTTAGCAGTCATTTGAGCCTAATCAGGAATTAATGGACAGTGCTTTGCAGTGATTTAATTTCCACAATAAAGCTAATGAGCAATTGAATACAAATGTCAAAAGGAATCACTTGATTGTTGTCTCAATGCTTTCCCCCCGTGCAGACACTCTGCAGAACTCAGCTGTAGCTGCCTTTTTATAGCCTGTTAACATACATTCTGGCAGAATCAGGGAGACCCCTGTGCACTCGGGATTATTAATAAGGTTAAGTGGGCACTTAATTAGCAGTTTAGTGGCTAGTGCTTCATGATTGGAAGGTCCCCACTAGATTACTTAGCAGAATTAACTGGTGGCTTTTGTCATCATGTCCCTAGACGCCATCCACACCCTCCGATGCAAAGCTGATTCTTAATCAAACTCAGACAGGGTTCACAAAGAGGGCATGGACACAAACAAAAAATCTCCTACATCAAATCCTGTGTTGTGGAGCCCTCATGGAGGAGAGGGAAGACAGCCAGCCCTCCCCATCCTGAGCACTGCAAGGGCAGCTTCCATGGAGGCGCTTCCTTGCTTCACTAACTGTTTGCACAATAGACTAGGGTCTCTGTAAAGAGACTACTTCAGAACCATTGTGCCTCGCTCCAGACACTGCAGCATGCACTTGACCTTCACACCCCAAATTCACCGTGGTCCCAAAGCTGCTCCCACAGGATAGCAGGTCCGGCCTGAAGTATGTACAAGAATCCCTCCTGTGGGCTTCCAAATAAGACCCAGCTCTGCAGAACCTGGCCCCTTCTTTCCCCTGATTCTTTTCTGTTCAGCTCATTACAGAGTAGGGGAGAGGCACACAAACTTATTTCCCCAGGTGTCCTTCCCCCACATCACAGTGGGGACCCTCCATCTGCCCTTCCCCGCTGAGTCTTTAAAAAAATAAAAGTGTCTAAAAGCTGAGTCTGCCCTTGGAGAATCCATGCTTGGGGTCGGAGTGAGGTGGGGAGGATTGAGGTTCTCAGGGAGCTAGTAACCCAGGTGGAAAAGTAGAAAACAAATAATAATAATAATAATAATCAATTATGAAAGTCACTGATTATCTGCCAGGCATGTGTTACTGTTTTCTCATTCCTTACTGGTACCTTGTGGCATGGGTACCCTTGTCCCATTTTGATCAAAAGACCACGATTCAAATGAAGCAATAAACTCAGGAGTTTGCAACTAGAAAGTAATAGCACCAATATTTAAACCCAGCCCTTCACAGTATCCTCTTATCACCCAGACTAAGCTGCTTTCATCACCAGAATTCCTATAGGTTCAGGAAATGAAAACTATTTTTAATATTGGCACAAGAAAATATAATTAGAAGGTAAATCAGTCTGGTGGAAGAAAAAAATTTCCATGATGCAGCCCAAAGCCCCAGAGGAGATTGGGGATTATCTCTCTGTGCATCACTGCTACAGTCCTTGGCGCTGGAGATGCAGAGGGGAGGTGATTTTAGATACAGTGACAAAGCGGTTGATGAGTTTAGAGAATGAAGAGATGAACTCAACTCATCAAGCAGTATTGTTAAATTCCTTCTGTGTGTGGATGGCACTCCAGTGGATTCTAAGAGCAAGGGAGCTAAAGCTGAAAAAAGAGGACTCCATCCCTAGGCCAAAGGGCATGCACCTCTTAGAACTCAGATGGTATACTTGAGAGATGTGGCCTGGCAGAGAGAAGAAATACTCCAAATTGCACCTGAGTTTGGAACTCTCACTTTTCAGTAGAGAAAGGCTCGGTGGAAGCAGTCAGTGAGCAGAAGATGGCCCGGGGGGGGGGGGGGGGGGGGGGAAGGGGGGAGGTTTGCGCTGTATTGTGGACCAAGATAAAATGACCCATGGGGCTTTGGAGAAATAGAAGTGCATGTTATAAATGGGGAAAGGACAGATGTCATCTTCAGTTCACTGGAAGGTCAGCTGCAGGCTACGCATAAATGGGATAACAGCAGAAAGAAGTATGTCTTACTTTTCTATTGCTGTGAAGAGATACCATGACAAAGGCAACTTATGAAAGGAAAGATTTAATTGGGGACTTCTAACTTGTCTGACCCAGGGAAGTCTAGACATAATGGAGATTTGGAGAAGAAATTATACTTGTGTGGAGAACTCAAGACTGGGTATAAGGAGATTGCTGAAGCCTTGGGAGAAAATCTGATTTCCCCACCAGAGGAGTGACAGATGAGAGAGAGGCAGGGATGGGGGACAAGGCCAGCCTCACTTGTCCCCTGTTGTCCCACTCAAGCTCCTCTATAGTGGGCTTTGCCTTCCTCTCAGGCCCTCTTGTCTTGTGGCCTTCCCCCAGAAGGCTGGGGTAGGGGAAGATCATGAAATAAGGAGCATGAGCTGGGAAGGCTGGCTGGGAACTCGCAGGGTCTTGGCACTTATAGACTAAAGACAGGAATCAGATAGAGCCAAGAAAACTGAACAGTGAGAGGGGAAGAAGAGGAAGGAAGCCAAAGAAGGACACTGTGAAGGAAGATTTGGAGAGAACCACCCACTTCCTCAGAACCTGGGGACGCAGAGATGTGGCTGGGAGCCTAGGGAGGAGCTAGGAAGACTGTCCTGATAGCCAGCCTCACTAAAGAGAAAACTTGTGAAATCCACGCAGGTCTAAGAACAAATCTAACTGATCAGTCATTTTGCATTTAATAATACCTTTAGTGTTGTATTTTCCAAATCCTCTAATTCAATTCAGGGAACATCATTAGCTTATCATTAGCTACATAGACAAAAATTGTGTATTACTCTATGGAGATGAAAATGCTGCAGTTAAAAAGGTTCCCTCCAAATGCCATCTTAAAATTATTTCATATTTTATGTAAAATAAACATTTCAAGCCTCTCAGGGCTATCCATATATGGCTTTTAAGCTAATAGCAAAGTGCTCTCTAAGCTTCAGAAATATCTGTGAATAGAGGGAGTTTGACATATTTTGTTTCAGCTTTCCATTTCAACTGTCCCCTAACTGACTCCTCAAATGTGTTTAGAGGCTTCGTTTGTTTGTTTATTTGGTAGCATCTGAGCCAATAGGACCAATGAATACTTCATACATTTCTTTCTCTCTGCAGTTGCAAAAGATATTTAAGAAACTTCCAGGGTTCCAAGAAATCCATGTGTTAGGATTTGGGTAAGTAAGAGAATTAGACTGTTCTCAACTTTTAAATCACTTCCTCCCCATCCTCCTTTAAAAGTGACATTTTGAGGATTAGAAGGTCCCTTTTCTCTCAGGTGTTTAGCTCAGTCTGGTCCTACAGACTGGATACTTTTGAGATACTGGAGCTCTAATTAGAACAGGAAGCTGTGCTACTGAAGGGAGAGCACAGGATCTGCAATGCGGCTCCCTCCAAAAGCTGGGAGCACTGTCCTCCCGCACCTCTCAGCTGTCCTTGGCAATGTCATTAGCAAACCTCTGGAAAATACCTCAGTAAAGACAGATCAAAAACAGTAACAATTAATTGCCTTCATACTGGCTTGCCTCACGTCCTCCCCAAGGCTAAAATCTCATCCCTGTTGGCATAAATTACGTTAGCCAGGAGACACAGGTGAATCTGATTGTTTTCTAAAGTGACTTTTAAGGGTGGAGGCATTGAAGGAATGGAATACACAGGGGCAAAGACAAGACTTCACAAAATATATGTTTTAATTTGACCTAGTGTATGGACTAAAGTAATGCTGTATGGCTCAAAAAGTAGTGACTTGAGCCAGGCGGTGGTGGCGCACGCCTTTAATCCCAGCACTCGGGAGGCAGAAGCAGGTGGATTTTTGTGAGTTCGAGGCCAGCCTGGTCTACAGAGCAAGATCCAGGAAAAGGAGCAAAGCTACACAGAGAAACCCTGTCTCAAAAAACCAAAAAAAAAAGTAGTGACTTGAAGCTTGAAATGATAAAATAACGCCATGCTAAAGCAGGGCGGGATCACACTCCAGCAGAAGCAAGTCTGTAAGCCATCTGTGCTCTTACCACCCTAATGAGGGTTCCCGGGTTTGAATGTTTGCTTCATTTTCAAAGTTCTCCTTATTTCAAACATCTACAGGCAAAATCCTGAAATGGTGCTTCTTACCAGTGTGCTGCCGTGCGCGCACAGCAGCCGTGGTGGAAGCAGAATGAACTTTCATGCCTAGTGAGGGACGAGGTGACTTGGGAAGATCAGGCCTTATGGGAGTCTTCCTGGCTCAGTCACTACCTGGTCTTGGAGCAGGAGGACACCTGTGAAAGCGCAGCTTATGCCTGGAGACAAGGGCTTAGGAAATGAACTAGCTGCATTTCCCAGGGCTGTCAGGCCTCTCTGATTTGTATCACTCCAGAGGAGAGAGATATCAGAAAGGGAGAGTGATAAAAGATGAAAGTCCCAATATTTACCAAAGCAAACTCATTTTGCTTTGTGTCGAGATGCCCCTCTGCAGTATTCGACTGGAAGTCAGATGGATGAGAGGATAATCAAAGGTGATAGGCACATATTTTGCATAGATGGCAGGCTCTTCTGAATAAAGTGCTACAGTTAAAGAACAAATTTTTAATCTACAGCTTCAGGAAATGATGGAAATGCTTCTCCTGGTGAGTGATTAAATGTGTGTTATTGCCTCCCTTCAACAAATGAAAATCTAATTGTAAAAAAAAAAAAAAAAAAAAAAATCTACTTCAGAGAAAAATCACAATGTTAGGCAATGAAATTTTCCAAGGTAAAACTTTTAAAGAGGCATGCCTGGAAACTGAATCTTTCCAAAGTGTGTCTGTGTCAGGATTTATTCCTATTTCTGCCAAATATGTTTATAAAATACATTTCATTGCATTTTGCCAATAATTTTCCTTCTGTCATAAGGACTTTAGTCCACTGGAAAGTATGTGGGCCCCTGAGTTCAATAAATGATGTACTTGTGAGCAGCACAAACCTTTGGTCATTGATACCAATGCTGGGGATATTGTTGGATAAACTTACTATGAAGGAAGTGACTTTTGTTATGGGGCCAGATGCCCACAGATGAGTAAGCCCCTAGCAGTCACATATATTGCCTTTCCTTTGTCTCATTTATAGAAAAGCTTATTTATAACTTCACGAATAGCTTGATATGAACATCCTCACCTGATTCTCTCAACACAACTGGAAAGTAGTTAGGACTCCATTATTACTACAATTTTCAAGATTAACAGTCAAAGCACCACTTAGAGTATTGCTTCATCCCTAAAAGCAAGTGCGGAAAAACTATTAATAATCACACAAACAGTGGTAGAGTACATTTCTTCAGCCTGGTGCATAAACATCCAGAGCATCTTTGTCTTTACGAGCCCGGAACAAAACAAACCAACCAACTGTCCATCAACAGAGCCATAGACAATTCTAGAATGTGCTCAGTATAGACACGTTTCTGGACAAAGGAGTAACACTTTTGACATATGTGGCGACATGAATGCATCTCAAAATAACTGTGCTGAGTGAAAGACCAGACAAGAGTGCATTGTGTTCTATTTACATTAAATTCCAGAAAACAGGAACTCAGCTACAGTGACAGAAAATGTATCAGGAGCTGCTTGGAGATGGTGAAGCAGAGTGTGGAAGGGAAGGATCGCAAAGAGACGGGACAAAGCTTTGACGTTGGTGAATGTGCTCCGTATCTTGGTTGTGGCAATAAATACTTTTTCTTTAAGATTTCTGTTTGCTTATGCAAGGGCTATGTCAACAAAGCAGTTTTTCATTGGCGGGAATAGGTTTTGGCCTCTCTCCTTGGCTTCATGGGTTACAAATTGCAAAGAAGCAAGAGGCAGGCCCTGGATGAATGTCTGGTAGAGAGGCAGTCTCTCCTCACAGAGCAGTGCCACTTAGAAGGACATCGGGTTCTCTATCACCAAAGGAACATGGGAACAAGTGTAGGTTGATTTTTTTCTATCCCATCAGCCAGCTCCCAAATAACTACATGGAGACTTTTTATTAATTATGAAAGCTTGGCCGATAGCTTAGGCTTGTTTCTAACTAGTTCTTATAACTTAAATTAACCCATTTCTATTAATCTACTTTCTGCCTCATAGTTGTATTACTTTTATTCTGTACTGTCCATGCTGTTTTTCTGGTTTCTTTCTGTCTGGCTGGCTACTCTACCTTCTTCCCAGTCTTCTCTCTGCCCCCAAAAGTCCTGCCTAGCTATTTGCCATTCAGCTTTTTATTAAACCAATCAGAGAGACACATTCAAAGTGTACAAAAAGATTATCCCACAACAAACAAGTCTATAGCATATCCACTGTGGCCATGTTGTACCAGGAGAGAAGAGTGAAATGAATTTGTAGTCCAGAAGTGCCAGTGACACCAATCCCATCACCTATATGGACTGTCTTCATCAGCAACTGTCATTTAAAATGCAAAGAGAGAACACTGAATATAGCTTCTGGACGAAATTTTAAAATTTGTCTGTAATTTTGGTAACCAAACTGTTTTTCTCAGGCACACACCAGTGGATAGGGTGACAAAATGAAACCAAGGTTGAGGAGATACAGCCCCAAATTCAAATCCCGCCTCCTTTGGGTCCAATTGACTCTGTCTCCCACTGCCTTTGCAGTGCCTGTGGAATGAGGATTCTGTTGTTGTAAACATTAAATGAAAATACATATAAAACTCTTGGTGCATAACACCCACTCAGTAAATGGGTGTTGTTTTTCTCACAAGTTTTCATGGTGAATTGAATTAATTCCTCAACTGATTAAAGCAATTCAAAATCGTCAAAACACTAGCTCCCTGGGTCAATCTCAGATAAGTTACCTCTGAGAGTAAACAAATCCCTTCATGACATTCAGGAGGTAAGGAATCTGTTTGTAAAATGCTTTTTGAAAACATTCTGACAGTAGTTCCCCAAATGTAAGATGCATAGCATATATCTGCAACCTCTTTGAGTAAATCAACAAGTTTAAAGAGAAGACTGTAAATACACAGGCATCTTTGAACTAAGGCTCAAATCCTGATCAGAAACTGTATTTATATCCTGAGACTCATGATTCTTAAAGGTACCATCCAAATTCTGGTGGCAGTTTGTGTGTTTCTCCAAAGTGCTAGACAAACATGAAGGACAATATATAAGCATTTTTGTGTATAAAATAATCCACTGACTGCTTCAATAAATCTTATCAAAAGTCTTTCTCTCTTGCATGTTTTCATGGTGTGTGGTGAAATGAAGACCAAAGAAAGAAAGAGATGGGTAATTTTGATTATTTTTATGTTTTTGAAATATGGTATGCTTCCCTCCACAAATGTATAAACTGCTTTTTTGGGGGGTGGCTTTTTTGTTTGTTTGGTTGGTTGGTTGGTTTTTTGTTTGTTTGTCTTTTGTTTTGTTTGAGTTTTGGCTTTTTTCTAAACATGGTTTCTCTGTTTAGCCCTGGCTGTCTTGAAACTTTCTCTGTAGACCAGGCTGGACTCAAACTCAGAGATCTACCTGCCTCTGCCTCCCAAGTGCTAGGACTAAAGACATGTGCCACTACCACCCAGCATAAGCTGTTTTTGTTTTTGTTTTAATAATTTTCTAATGTAATATCTTGAATGTGGCAATGATTTTTAGTAGTATTATTTAAATGGAACTAATTATTATTTAGTAATTAAAAAAAACTCTCTAGTCAAATTACTATGTGAGATTAGCAGGGAAACAATGACTTGACCATTCTATAAAAAGCATTCTATAAAAAAAACTACAGCCCTAATTATAAAAATGTGAGAATATAGGTGTTTTATGCCAGCATCATGATTTAACTAATTCTTGTATGTTTGCAATGGGAGATTGGCTGGCTGGCTTCACACTCATGAGTACAACCAACTGAAGTCTAAGAATAAAGGAGAGAAACCAATTTGCTCCTCAGCCCCAAGGTCAGTTTGAGGTGGGGAAATGACCCACTACACCTTGGAGAGATCAGTAATGAGAATCTGGCTTTGGCTCCTGCAATTGACTAGTGAAATAATGAACTGTAGTCGCTGACTGATTGTGTGGTCTGAAGAACTGCCAAGAATACACATTATCAGCTCCTGAGGCCCTTAAAACACTTCCGCATCCCTCGGTGTAGATTTATGGCATGAAACAAAAGGCAACACTTTATTCTCAAGGACAGAGCTGTGAAGAATCTTGTTTGGGGTTTGGATGCTGAAAGATACTGTGTTAATAAATATGGTAGTAAATACAGTTAATCATACACTGTGTACCGCTTCCTTTCCCTGTTCTTGCATCTTTTATTATTTTCTTTCCTTGCTCTATTTCATTTACAAATTTTTTTTAATTTAAAAAATACTTTGTGGCCAGGTGGTGGTGGTGTATGCCTTTAATCCCAGCACTCAGGAGGCAGAGGCACATGGATATCTGTGAGTTTGAGGCCAGCCTGGTCTACAAAACAAGTTCCAGAACAACCAGAGCTATTACACAGGGAAACTCTGTCTCAAAAAAAGACAAAAATAAAATAATAAAATACTTTGTGGAAAATAATGGAAGAAAAAGGCCTTAAGAACTGAAGGTCCATTTGGTTATGGTATACATACATAGCCTATTGTGTCGCTGCTACATCATGCATACCATGCCATAGACCCGAAAGGACATATCCTGTAGAAAAAGGGTCAATTCATCTCTCTTTCTGATTGGCACTGCATGACTTTAAGACCACCAAAACCATTGATCAATTAGCAATGAATCATTAGCACATTTTTTTAATATAAATATGTATGGAACCAGTTCACAATCCTTTTTCGAATTAGACTTAATCTCCAGGCTGACATTCTACTTTAAAACAAAGTATTTGTCGATATTTTTCAGTACGTTAAATTTCTGGCAAATATTGAAATGTTCTAAGTTGGATATTCTTTAAGAGCCTATCAGAAAAGAGGTTAAATTGTCCTGAAGACTTATAGCAACACAGAAACTCTCTAGTCTAATAACAATGGCTTTGGATGGAACCTGTCCTCTGCTCTCCACAGTTCAAACTCCACAGAAATACAACTTATGGCCATCTTTAAGAGAGACCACAAAGAAGTACACAGCCCTGCAAGCAACCTCCTGTCTCTTGATTCCAACAAAATTGAAAGTGAAAGAATCCATCATGGAGCCATAGAAGATAAGCAACCAGAAATCTACCTCACAACTATGGACCTCAAAAAACTCATCATCCAACTACTAGATGGAGACCATTCCTTGGATGTGGGGACGATTTGGTTCAATGATGGTCAGTTGGTGATGCCAGGGTTCTGAGTTTATCCTCATTCTAACAGAGAAGCTAGGAATTATGACTATATGATGGATTGTCATTTTAACTTGGGCCCTGTAAAGTCAGTCATTACTAGGACAGGTACATCATGTATAGTACTATTTCTGTTTCTCTTCACTTCCTCCTGCATTTTATTAATCAGCCCTTGGTGGTCACTTTGCACCAAAGATAAGTCTAGGAGAATACAATAGTTTCAATTCAGTCAGAGTAACCATGTTCAGTCAGTAGGGCCCAGATAAAGGGGAGAATGCTTGGACAATCCCATTTATCCGGCATAGCTTACACATATCTTCTCAGCTAGTCAACTAGTCAAGCTTCATAAGGAAACAGACAGCATATTCAGTGAGGTTAGTTTAAAAAGAGTTGATAGAGGGACTGCCCATGAAAATTTTCTTTACTCAAAGGAATGGAATGGCCCCATAAGATTAAAAGTAGCATGACCTCACTACTACCTCCAGGCCTGAGGGCTGCCCACTAATACAACCCACCCCAGAGAGGAGGGTAAGGAACCACTGATACAATCTGTATAAGTCAACCTTCAATGGGATCCAAAGACATAAACAAGATAATCCAACATGCTTGGGACCTTTAGAGGATGCTGTAGGGGGGACCCAGGAGCCTGAAATTCAGACACTGCAGACAGTATAATAGATAGACAATGAAAATGCCATTTCAGCACAAGATGGCATGAAACTATCATTCTCTGGCAGTTCTGTTATCTGATTTATATGAGCAAATCATTATCTCTAGAAATTTGGAGGGAGGTTATGGCACCTCTGAGGCAACAAGGGAACAACTTCAAACTCATCTCCAAGCTTATTTGCTCCTCTGGCCATGTGTCTTTGTTGAGCTTTCTTGGGATATTCTGAAAACGAGGAGGAGGGATGGAGTTGAACTCCAGATGCTCCCATTTTACAGTGTTGATACTAACCATTTCTTTCTTCGCTGGCTAAGTAACATTTTTATCCCCATTTGCCCAGCCAACCAGCCTCACTACTTGATCCAAATCTGTAGACTAAGACTGGGTACCCTACAAATCTCTAAACTACTATTGTTTTGTAATTGCTTTTATTATGTAATCGGCACATAATAATTACATATATTCTTGGAATATAAAGTTATGATTAGATACATGTGTATAGCACATAATGATCAAAGCAGTGTAGTTATTATACCCATCACTTTATTCTGTATCATTCCTTTGTGAACAGAGCATTCAAAACTTCTCTTGTAGCAATTATGAAATATACAATACATTATCATTAACTATAATCACCCCACTGAGCAATATAACCCTAGCTCCTTCTGTCTACTTACACTGATTGTTGTACTCATTAACCAACCTCTTCCACTCTTTCATCCTGTTCTTAATAATTCCCATCACATAAGAATGCAAGACACAATCCTGGATCTTTCCTTCAGATTAATGACCATTAGTCTGTAACTCCAATTTCTTAATGATTTGTAGTAGTACTCCTTACGACTTGACTATTACCACATTTTAGAACCTAAACTGTTTTATTGCCTAAACCACAAAAGGGAAAAAAAAAAAGAAACATTTAGCCTTGTGATTTTTTTTTTTCATCCCAGAAGTTGGTGGGTCATTGTCAGTCTCCAAACCTGTCACCCTGTCGGGGCTGCCCATGCCCGTTGCTGACATCACTGAGGTAAGTGAGTTTCTTGTCCTTCTGTTTAAAACCCTCCAACAAAATAATCAGTTTTACAGACTGAATGGAAAAAAAATACTATTTGTAATGTTAAGTATAAGTATTTTATATTTTTAGGTCTGTAATTGGGAGCCCACTTCCAATAACTGCATTAACAAGAAATTAATTCAAATTACATTTCAAATATTTCTTAGATTTAGTTAGATATTTGTTTCATTTTAAGTCAGGTTGTGCTCTGTGTTTAATAAGACACATTTTAAATTTTATTTTTTTTACATTCATTCATTTATTGGAAAAGGAAGAAGAAACACAGGCATGCCACAGCAGATGTGGGGAGCATGCATGGGGAGCCCAGAGGATGATCTGCAGAAGTTGGTTCTCTCCTTAATGCTGTGGGGGGTCCCAGTGATTGAACTCAGACCATCAAGCTCAGTGGCCAGTGCCTTTTCCTGTGTTTCATGAACTAAAATGAATAATTAAAGCAAAATATAATACTTAACTTTGATTTTCAGAAATACACTTATAAGTCTATTTTTTATTTCTAAGAGCTTTACTTATATTCTTATTTATGGGAGGTGGTAAAGCAAACTAATGTATTAGAAACTAAAAGTAATCAATGCGGCAGTAATTTTTGTATTCAACTTCAAGCTCTGGCAATTTCAGTGTTCTACAAGCTTTTTTTTTTTTTTTTTTTTTTTTTTGGTTTTTCGAGACAGGGTTTCTCTGTGTAGCTTTGCGCCTTTCCTGGAACTCACTTGGTAGCCCAGGCTGGCCTCGAACTCACAGAGATCCGCCGGCCTCTGCCTCCCAAGTGCTGGGATTAAAGGCGTGTGCCACCACCGCCCGGCTCTACAAGCTTTTACTGGAGCGTTCATAAGTAGATATTCTGAGTAAGCTCGGTGCCCTCTGTGCCCTCTTGACATGAAAGAATTTTAAATGAAAGCATGACTAACACAGTTCAAAGTATTTCAGTCATTAGTTATCCAGGAAGACACGCCAGCTGAGAAACAAGAGATCAGGAAGGAGATTGCCTGGCCAGACCATGTTGTTGTTGTTTTTTCCAGGACATAGTTCCAGGCTCCTCCTCCATAGATAAGTGGTACTAATAACAAAATTCTTTGCTTAAATATAAGTAACAGTATTCAAGATATAAGTATAACCCTTCTCGTGCACAGAGAAACATCCCTTCTTGACATCTTTCTTTCTAAATTCACTCTTCAGGATGCTACTCTGAGTTCAGAACTTCTGCTCAGCGAACCTGGGCTTGAGGCAGTGGACCGAGAAGGACCTGACCTGCCTGGTGAGTTTCTTCTCATATAGTCAATGTTTGATGATGACATTCTCTGAGAATCTGTCAATGCTCTTCCTCAGACCCCTGGAAAAAGTCTTCTCGATCCTGGAAAGGTGTGTCTCACCAGCATCACCAACAGAACAGAATCCACTGAATTACCTCCTTCTGAGGAACATGCGGCTCTCCAATGCAACATCCTCCCCTCAGTTCTAGTCCCCAGTCCCCCGGGAAGCCTGGCCACCCTTCCTGGGTGTAGTGAGAGACACTGGAGTCAAAGCTTCACCAACAGAAATCTCTTCCAGGCTTTGAAAGAGAGTCCACTAGGACAAAGGTGGTTATGAGGCCCGAATCCTTGACCCAGGGGTTGAGCTACAGAGGGATGAACCTTCACTTTAGTCCATCATTCCCACATGTCACTAACAGGCTGTCTGCTCTCTTTTAAATGTTTTTCTTAGGTTTGGTTTTTGAGACAGAATTTCCCTATGTGACTCAGATTCCTGAGTTCCAGACATGAGCTACCTCACCTCATGAGTGCTTTTAGTGTGAATTACACATAAGGAAATCACTAAACACTGAAGTCTTACTGATTGGTAATTTTTTGTCTTCTTTCATATTTATTTTTAATTTTTACTTTTTTTGTTTTCTTAGAGATGAGTTCTTACTATGTAACCTTGGCTACCAGTATGTAGAGGCTGGCCTCCAACACGTGCCAATCCTCCTTTCCACTCTGTAGGTTGTCTGGTGAAGATCTTTTAGGAGACACAAGACTGGGGATCTGAGGTTGATCAGCTTGCATTGTAGTTCTAAGTGTGAACGCCTCTGGAGCTGTGTGATGGCTGGGTTTTCTAAAGGCTTTGTTGCTGTTTTAGTTGGGACTCCTTATAAAATACTTCCTCAGTGCTATTTTCTTCATAGATTGTATTCAACAGGTAGGTAAATAATCATAGAACATGAACTTTTCAGGAATACATCTATGTCATGACAGCAGAGCTTATTGTACAAATTGAACTTAGTTTACATGATTACTGCAAGAAAGTATTCATTTCATGGCCGTTATGTGTTGCATTACTAAAGTTAATGGCTAAAAATACTAAAGTTAATGGCTAAAAATAGCCACTTATTTCCTGTAAATCTGAAGTTTGGGCAGTGGTGGGTGGAGACAGCTCTGCTCTACATGTGCCAGCGGGCAGAGTTCAACTGCTATTGAAGATCCATTTTCATGGTGACCTTGGCACATTGCTGGAAAATCAGTGCTTAGCTGGGGCTGTGGGCCTGAGGCCCCATTCTCCTGTATGTGCATCTCTCCATGAGGATGCTTGGGCTTCCTCACAGTTTTGTAGCCATGTTTGAGAGAGGCAGTATTCTAATCACTCGTGGGCCCAGAAACAGTATCATTTCTCTCCTTCTAATGTCTAAGCAATCACAGAGACTCAAGCAGTAAAAAATACAGGCCTTAACTATCAATAGAAGTATCAAGGAATAATTTGGGCCCATTTATAATCAATCACAGTGGATATCAACCATCATTTTGGCCTTAAAATCATCTGAGAGTTGGTTATATACAACAAAACATATCTTTGATAAAATGGTTAATGCTGTCCCTGGATTATTTGCTTTAATTATAAGATCAGAAACTCTTATAATATTGGCATTTCAAGTAGACTATTTAAAATATTGATGTATCTATGACAAATGCATTATACACTTTCAAATTGCTTTGCTGTTCCCATGCAAGTACACGCCATACAACAGTAGAGCTAAAAAAGAATTCTAGAGATAATTCAGTTAAGCCTCTGTGCTTCAAAAATGAGAAAAGCAAAGCTAGGGACAGGAAGCGATTTGCACAAGGTCAGGATCAGGACTATCATTCAAGTTTTCTCCAGGTTATACTGTATTTGCTTGAGTAGACTTATCCTTTAAAATAGTTATCTTCAGTCTGATCAAATAACTCAGCAGGGAAAAAAATGCTAGCTGCACAAGCTTGCCAACCTGATTTCAAACTCTTGGACCCACAGAAAGCTGGATACAATAGCTCAAATCTGTAATCCCAGCACTCCTATGTGAGATGCGATGTAGAGACAGGAGAATCATACAGAAGCTCATAAGCCAGCTAGTGTAGAATGTGAAGAGAGATAAAAACAAGTGAAGGCCTGCCTCAACAAGATGGAAGGAAAGAACTAGAACTAACTCCCAACCACTGGCTCTTGATCTCCACACTGTGGCACACACAGACCACCTTACTTCAGTTTCAGTATACTTTTATACATGAATGTCACAAAGAAAGTAACGATCCAAGGAAGGTTGTTTGAGTTCAGAGAAACATGTAAATAAATGTCAGTAGGCACATACTAAATATTAAAAACCAGCCCTTTCCTAGAACTTTCTCAGGACAGACCAATTTAAACACAGTGCCTCGCACATTCTATAGATTATATCTGGGAAAGCATGAAAGCCAGGCAGAAAAGACCATGTCCAGATTCAGGGCACACTGACCAGATAGGGTTCTATACCTACGTTCTGACATCCAACAAGAATGGACATGTTGTGTAAATTGAATGTAAATGTTTGTCACAGGAGGCACTAAATCACATATCCAAGAACAATCCAGGCAACAAAACGCACCTGAAGTAAAAGGCCCTCTGCCTTTTTTCCTGGAGCCTCCTCACAGTTCTCCAAGACATTGTTCACCATGGCTCATTCTTTTGACTGTGTTCCCACAATCCTCCCTCCTACCATCATATCCTCTTTTTTTTCTTTTCTTTTTTTACTGATTACACTTAGTGCTACCTGCTTGCAAAAATGTTGGCTTAATCTTGTACAGGTCTTCTGCAGGTAACCATAGCTGCAGTGAGTCCATGACCACAATGGCCAAGTCATGTCCACAAATCAGTATTCCACAGGCCTCCTTCCCAGCATCCCGCTCTTACTTTAGTCCCTCCTGTCTTCCGTGATCATCTCTGAGCCCTGAGGATAGGGTTGATAGAGATGTCCCATTGAAGTCTGGCCACTCAACAGTCACTTATCCTCAGCACTCTGACAGTTATGAGTCCCTGAATTAACCACTACCCACTCAAAAAGAAGCTTCTCTGGCCACACTGAGAGAAATGCAGTCTGAGTTTGAACATAAATATTTAGAAGGCAGTTTTACAGCATGACCGTTTAGCAAAACAACAGGCCCACTGGGGCCTATAATCTTCCCAGTCATGAGATGTTGACCAATGTGTAGTCCCAAACGTGAAAATCCTTCCTAAGAAGCGGGCCTCGTTTCTGACCAGAAAGTCTTTCATTACCCACATAGTCATCATACCACTATTGCACCAGCAGACTGGGCCCATATTGTATTGGGTTGTTTTCTTGATGTTTAATTTCTTGAGTTCTTTGCATATTCTAGATTCTAATCCTCTGTCAAATACATAGCTGTAAAATTTTTTGTTCCATTCTGTAGGCTGTCTCTTCATTTGATTGTGCAAAGCTTTTCAATTTTATGAGCTCCCATTTGTTGATTATTGCTCTTTTTTTCCCTCCTGAGCAATCAGAGTCCTATTCAGAAAGTCCTTAACCTGTGTCTATACCTTGAAGTGTGCTTCCTACTTTTCTCGATGACAGATCCAGGTTGTCATGTCTTAATTTGAGGTCCTGGAGCCATTTGGAGTTGAATTTTAATCAGGGAAAGAAATAAGGGTTTCATTTTTTCTTTTTTTTTTCTTTTTTTGGTTTTTTGAGACAGGGTTTCTCTGTGTACCTTTGCACCTTTCCTGGAACTCACTTGGTAGCCCAGGCTGGCCTTGAACTCACAGAGATCCGCCTGGCTCTGCCTCCCGAGTGCTGGGATTAAAGGCATGCGCCACCACCACCCGACTGGGTTTCATTTTTCTAAGTGTAGATACCCAGTTCTAGCACCATTTGTTGGTGTATTTCTTTAATGTTTATTTTGACATCTTTGTCAAATATCAAGTGGGCTATATGGCCTGTGCCTGGGTCTTCTAGTCTGTTTCATTGATTGATGTGTCTGGATTCATGCCAAAAAGCTGTTTTTTATTACTATGGCTCTGTACTATAATTTAAAATCAGGTATAGTAACACATGCAGCAGAATTATTTTTGCATCTGCTGTACGGGGGCAAGTACTCGTAATCACCTCAGGCACATTTTTTAAGATTTTGTTTGTTTTTTGTCTTAAATTGAGTGTGTTTATGTGTGTGCATGATGTGTTATGTTGTGTGTATTTGCATGTGTGTGTACTCACAGTCATATCTTCCTGCAGCTGAAGTTACAGGTATTTGTGAACCACCCAACATGGACCCTGAGAATTCAACTTGCATCCTTTATAAGAGTAGCACATGTTCTTAACCACTGAGACACCTCTCCAGTAGAAGTTTTGTTGGTTTTTGTTTGTTTGTTTGTTTTTTGTTTTTGGGGGTCTTTTTTGAAATATTACTGGTCACTATAAATCTATTTAAATTGCTTATCTTATCTTGGTTTAATATGGCTAGGTCATATGTATTTAGACATTCATTTATTTCTTTTAGATTTTCCAATTATATGAAATGTATGGTTTCAGAGTGAAAACTAGTAATTTTATGAAATCCAGTAGTATCTGTTTTAATATTCCTTTTCATCTCTAATTTTATCAATTTGGGTCTTCTCACTTTCTTTGAATTACTTTGGTCAAGAGTTTGGCAATCTTATTTAACTTTCCAAATAGCCAACCTTTGCTTCATTTATTCTAAAATAAACACCTTTGAAAAAATTATCTTTAAACTTCTTTCCCCTAAAGTTATAAGTATTTTCTTTATTTCACTATTCTGTACATTTTTGTAAATAATCAAGGCTTTGGCATCTCCATTAGGTCACCTGCTAGGCATCACAGGTTTTGCCCATAACTACCTGTCACAGAAACAAACACAACTCCAAGGGTCACAGGGGAGCAGGTTTGTCTCCATCTTCACTTTATTTGACATTTCTAGCAAGTGGCTCTCATGGACCACATCTGTCTTGCAGCTCCTTGCA